GTAATCGGGTTCTTCATAAGATACACACTCGGATATACTTTCTCTTTCTACCCCTATGCTGGAGCTGGTATGCCAACCCTCCCCAATAGGTTGAGTGACTAAATCTACCACTAACCTGTTAAACGGCCTGTATCGTAGGCATTCCTAGCATATAAACGATGAGTAAATCTTCTCCTTTAAATTTTCATTACTATTTTAAACCTAAAGGCTTCTATCTTGAAAATGGTGCCCTAAAGGGCATGCTTGAATGTTACGCCCGCGTTACCAGTACAGTCATAATCAACTATTAACACTACCTTACAGCAAGAGGACTCACAGAGACCAGCTTATAAGCTTCACAATGTAGATTAGCAAATCATTTGCCGGAGGCTTGGATAATCACTTGAAACATCGCCATTTACCTTAAAGTCGAAGGACCTGATTATTTCGACTTACGTGTAGCAAGTACAGATCTAACTGGAAGTACGATTATAACTCGCTTAAACAGATTCACTCTACCTAAATCACGGATTCAATTCATTCTGTCAGTGAAAATACCTAATATAGGCATACGAACTTCCAGTAGCTAGGATCGTTGAGTAGCTGGTTGAAATGTAATGTAACATAAGTTTCAGAAGTCCATTCTATATCGTTTTCCGTCGTGCCTAGAGGTACCTTAGGTAGGTAGGTAGGTTAGATAGTTACTATTCGTCAACGTAGACTACTTCCAAGGCAAGGTCATAACCAGGGCTGATATGTACCTAAAGCCCACCGTGACGAATGAATAGCAAGTATAGCTTCACTGCTGCTTTATTTATTTAGTATACAAATATAAACGGTCCACTGATTCTTGGGATTCCCACTATACCGGCGCGATTAAATTCACACTAGTTCACGAATATGATAAATGGAGCATGATGCCTGCCCCTTCTAAATTGAAGAAATTTAATAGTTTCGTATCACAAAGGTAATTGGGTTTTAAACGCTGTTGTAATGGAAAATCAACTAATCAGCATAGTATTATTCTCTCACTAGACCAGTATTGTTACCCCTTTACATAAAGTATATCCCTAACTACTCCTCGGCTATGAGATAGACATCTAGGGGACTTGGTGCTCTTGATGACATATTCAAAACTAGTAATATCTAGCCTGGTGACTTATCATAAGAACCAATTTAGAAATAGGGGTTCCAGACTCCGTTAACAATTCGTAGTTCGAGGTGGAGTTAGCTTGCTCCGGACGTAACCTGCTCAACTACCAGCACGTACTCTTCCCCGGCCAACCTGCAACCAATCAAGCTAGCGAACTCATATTCGGATGAGCTCCCTTCCTTCGGGTCATAACTATCCCGTATCTAATTTAGCATAGCCCTGGGCTTCCCTGTTCACATGTTGATCATGACATGATTTCCTAGCCGCATAGTCATCTGATTACCGCCGGCCAACCGGTAGGCCGGGTAGTGGCCGAATTAGGTGAAGTAAGAGAATGATTCGGGAAAAATATTTGATTGCAACTACACGTTCTAGGCCACGTAAACCCTGTACAGTTTACGGCATTTAGCAGTCCTGTGTCTCCCGGAGAGGCCTATGGAGGCCTAGATCGAGATGATCTGTCGCGGCTTAGCCCTTCGGAGGCTCTCAGCTTAGATAGCTGCTAAGTTTGTCCATATCTTACGGCCGAGCAGGAGACAGGCGATGTCCTGGTAAATAGTCGTTGGGCACCGAAACCTACATATCTGCTAGTAATCTAGCAATCTGGCCCAACTACCTGGAAGGACCGATAGGGCACCACAATTGAAACGGTTTGAAACGCGTCGAAGTCCTACCGCATTACTGGAATTCGTAAAGGGGGAAGCCTGAGAGGCCCGGCAAGGACCAGTTCGAGTATCACGACACCATCGGGCATGACGAAACAAAACGAAATCGTTGTGCTACCTGAAGTTTAGAAGAGTTCCGGATTCTCCGTCATACACGAATTATCTGTTAGTGGCAGATGTATACATGACCCATCCAGTTCAATGGCAACATGCCTGCTTACCCTATACCAAGATCGAACCCCAGATGAGTGAGGCGTTGATCAAAATCCGGGAATGCGGTTAGGTAGTCTTGACTATGAGATTTTCCCTACACCATTTCCCGTTATCAGCTTGTTCTTGGCCCCCTATAATAAATAGACGCCACCTGTAAGTGCGCTGAACACCGCAAAATGCACCTTTTGTTTTAGACTTTGTACCCCCTTGGCAACTTCTCCAGGTTCCGGGGGTGATCCCGACTTGTCTTCACCCCACCTAACGATAGCCCAACGAAGTACACTGGTTGTGAAAACCCAAAATACTTAATGTATGTTTAACCTTTAGGCTTGACCATGCATTAGTTTTCGACCCAGATCCTCAGGCTCGGTTCCGGTCCAGCATATAAAGTATTCCAGCTGATTTTCCGCTATAGGTTTCATTTTCTAGCCTAGAGATATATTTGGGGGTTTCTGTAAGTCCTACATGGTGGCAAATCACTTATTTCCTTCGGTACTTTGCGATAACTACGTTAAAACCTGGCAGTACCAACTTATATACTTCTCCTAGTATACTGAGTTCCTTTCTAACATGTATCTATACGCTGACTTAGTCTTAATAACTTATTTCAACCGTATCCGAGGAACTATTTAAGTAAATTCCGAGGAAGTGACCGTCAGAGTCCTCATGAATATTAGAATAAATGTTTCTATATAGAACAAGGAAATACTGTTATACGATGATCAGGCGCCATATAGTCCTAATGAGATACTATATTAATATCCTCTATATTTGTTCTAAAAATCAGTTCCAACTTTACGTGGTTTGCCGAAGAATAGTATGTACGTATCACAAACAACCCCGGACTTTTCTCCGTTAGCGTTTTATGTGGATTGTATATGTTTTCATCCTCTATCTCTTGTGATACAATGTCTTACAAGTTAGAAACTTGACCGAATTAGGGATCGTCTGCTTAAGGCCATTGCAGATCGTTTGTGAGCGGCAATTCTACTTCATTGAAACAGATACGAGGTACTACGGACATCGAGAACGGGATTGTCGAAGTTATTATTAGAGATCACATTACTTAAGCTAAACACCTAAAGATCCCTTGAACAGTAACTCAGATAGTTTAACCATATTACATGAAATAACGGCACGTTAAGGAAGAGTACATATTTCCGTATGTACCTAGGTAGGCAGGTATAACTCGGCACTTCCGATAAGAGTTAGAAACGACATAGCTGAAAGACTATCCATATATGTGGTAGTGTTAATAAATATACTCAGGTCTCTCAGCTGTTACTTATATTCTAATATTTCATTGTCGGCACACATCTCATAGAAGATTGATAACAATACAAGTTCTCAGCGTAAAAGTGGAGGCACGGATTCAGTAGCCTATATTTTCTCAACTAGGTAAGAGAACTCGTTAAGTATTAACTGAAATGCAGTTAGAAATAAGCGTATCTTAAACACATATCAATCTACATAGTATAAATTGATATGGGAAGTATATTCAGTAACATCTAAATATATTGGCTGTTAAGGGGCAAGAGCACGGATTACGTAATCCAATTCAGTAGGTAGTCATCCACGTAGAAAATCTCATGGCTTATAAAAAGAGATAGATATATAACTATATGCTCTATTTAACTAGGTACCTATTGGCAGACTCGTGGTTTGCTACTATATTCTACAGGCGCCATGAACATGAAAATTGGAGGATAGTCTTAAGTCGTACTACAACCAAAAGGAACTATCTTCCACGATTTAATGTTGCTACCTTATTATTCAAGATAGCCTTCATTAATATAGTTATTCTAACAGAAATTACAACTAAGAGAAATATAAGAGTTTAGTTATAAGTATTTAGCCGGAAGAATCTTCTTGTTAGGAGACACCTCTAATCATTTAACAGAGGCCAGCCTACTCCTTACTAATTTTTAGGATATAATTATACTCAACTGCAACCTACAAGAAATAACGATGGCCTTGGAAGATAGAGATATGGGAAGCAATCTAACGCAGTTATCAATCTGAAAAACCACTAACTTTGTTCGTATTCTACTTAGTAGGACTTCGAGTTTGCCTCGTTGTCATATTTACAGGTGTATGTAGTTATCTTATATGAGCATAGGCCTTTCAAATTGAATGAGATACGGCCTAGCTGTCGTAGTTACTGGCCCGAAGGGAAAATGTTTCTCTGCCTGATCGGAGTATAGCCTTGAGTTTTTGTTACTTATATGAACAGTCTTTCTATTATTGCTAGGGGTAACCGCATGATTATCAACTGGCTCTACAAGGCTGGCTATGCTAACGTATTTATGCATTCATGTAAGAGATAGCTAGAACTTACTCTCTTAGTTAATTAATGATTACTCTTACTATACTCATATGATACTTTCACTGACACAGTGACCTTGGCATGGCACTTGCACTGTAGCTCCTTTTTTTGGTGAGTCTTAAGGCTGCCTACTATAAGCCTGTTATTGAGCATGAATGTAAATATTGGTTCCAAGAGAAAATGAAGTGCTGTAATAGTATATTAGAATACCGGCTTACCATTTAGTAACAGGCACTCACTGCTGATCCACCCATGTGTAGGTATGCGTTAGATATTTAGGTACCTAAGACAACTAAAACATCCAGGGCAACCCCTATTTTAAAATATTCAAGAGTATTCCGTGAAGCCATTGGACATTTCGCGATTACGAAAATTTAGATTCATTTGAGCTACTGAACGGGCAAGTAAGAGGGATACTGTTCTGAGAGTATTATATACGTAGAGCAGAAAAGAGCTTTTTCGTCGTTATATGAATACGGAAGAAGCGGCGGAGAGAATGGTACACAATGAGTCTAAATGCACTTGTGTTGGAATATATAATTCAAGAAAGATAATTTGAACTTATAAAAGCAGTTCCAAAAGTAGATGAAGGGCACCTAACTTGAATCTTCATAGAAGAACGCCCACGGAAGCCTAGTCACCTCCTAGTTACTTTGGGACACGATTTACTTGAACGGTCGTTTCGATATCTGTTAAGCTAACAAGGGAGGTGATATATACAATACACCCTATTTCCAGTTCACTCCGAACAGTTTGAAATTCCTCTTCCCTTCACCCGCAGGCTTAGAATCGGCGTTCTCTAGGTAAATCCTCGAATGGCCCGTGATGTCAATACAGAAGTACTTGTATTCAAAGTCGTCGCGGTTGGCATATTTTATTAGATGCGCATTCACCACACCGTTATTTAATGGTCCTTCAACCTATACGATGTTAGGCCCGTTAAACCCCACAGTTGAGGAAGTAGACTTACATAAAAGTGCATGATTAGATGCTGGTTACCTTGTTCATCCTTATACTGGGTTGACCTAATATCGTTAGCTAGATAATAGACAATTCTACTTGAAGGGTATCATACGAAATCGGGCGGGCGCGGCGCCACTTATTCATAGTCTCTTCGCCGTGTGCTATGATTTTTTTACTATCGCCAAGCAGCCGTACGCATTCCGGATCCTTCTTGATTCGGTCGACGGCTCGGTTGAAGTAGGCAGTTTTACTATCAGGGGAGAATACGTCCGTATAGAGGAAATAGCCAACACCTCCCTAATTAATAATACCTTAGCATACTGTTAAGTGATGCGATAGACGGGAGCTATACCGTCAAAACCAAACCAACTACGACTAGGCCGAAGTTGAAGGTTTGCTGCGTGGCACGCGACGCCTTCTCACCGACGGAGAGCTCACTCCAAGGTACGAATCCATTGTCGTTGAATGGCGTTACAGCTCTCCTCTTGGAAGCAGCTGAAGCAGCTGAATTGGTTGGTTGGCTATGATGAGTAGCGTAGGTACGATAGGCAATTGTAGGTTGTAATCGTGGGATGATAGTAGGAGAACCGAATGACCGGATTGGGAGCTTCATTACGGCGGTCTTAAGTCCATCGGTACTTGTACTGTCGATAAGATTGCTTTTTGTGATGGGTTGAAGCTTTGCGCTTTGCGACAGAGAGAGAGAAGCAATGAATGGAGCTTTAAATTGGAAGTTAGTTGAAGCTTCTGCAAATGCGCCGTAATGTGGGTACCTACGGCCCCACTCAACTACCGTACCGTTGAACGGAGGAAATTTAGCACTATTCTAGTTCTAGACTAGCCCTATTTTGTTTAATAGCATGTGGGTCCAGTGGCCCATTCTTTTGAAGTTGGCATTTCGCGAAATCTGGCCGAACTCCCTGATTTCAACGTCGACTTTCGACTTTCAACCGCCAGCCTATCCCCCTTTTTTCTCCTCAGCACGTCGAATAACAACGAACAACGACGTCTTCCCCCTACGCCTCAACACCTCTATATCCTATACTGTGCATCCTGCCCGAACGGGGCTTAATCAGCAAGATGAGTGCGCTTGCAAGCAAGCAACAATCGCAGAAGATCTTCGAGAAGTTGAAGACCAAGTCAGCAAATAGGGTGCGTGATAAGCCACTTATCGTCGCGATGAATACGTGTTTTCAATTACTAACGCGCACCCAAAGATATGCTTCGATTGCGGCCAGAAGAATCCGACTTGGACCTCGGTACCCTTTGGCATTTACTTATGTCTCGACTGTTCCTCTAACCACCGAAATCTCGGTGTCCATATCTCCTTTGTCCGCTCCACCAACCTTGATCGTACGTCGCTTTCACGAGTTTAGCCTCGAGTCCCAGGTTCCCAGGTTCCAATAAAACACAACGCTAATAATATATACAGAGTGGCAATGGGATCAATTGCGTATTATGAAAGTTGGCGGCAACGAATCCGCCACCAAGTACTTCCGCGCAAATGGCGGTAGCGCCGCACTCGCTAGCAAGGACCCAAAGACCAAGTATCAGTCTAATGCCGCGACCAAGTACAAAGAGGAGCTTAAGAAGCGGGCCGCACGAGACGCGCTCGAGTACCCAGACGAGGTCGTCGTCACTGACGTGGCTGGAGAAGGTGCCGATGGGAGTGCAACTCCTTCTAGTGAGCCAAATGACGACTTCTTTTCTTCATGGGACAAGCCGTCCATCAAGAGGCCTACGCCGCCTATCTCGCGAACTAATACGCCGCCCGTTGTCGGCCGCACTGCCTCCCCATTTCTCAACGCCGGTGCCAACGGCAAGGAGATTTCCAGGTCTTCATCCCCTCTATCTAAGTCTGACTCCGCATCCGATGCCAAACCTGCTGCCAGTCGAGTCACCACCTCTGCTGCACTTCGCAAGACAAACCCCTCAGCGCCTCGCAAAGCCAACGTTCTGGGCGCAAAGAAGACTACTACTAAACTTGGAGCAAAGAAGGTTACAGGAGATATCATTGACTTCGACGAGGCCGAGAAGAAAGCTAAGGAGGAGGCCGAGCGAATTGCGAAATTGGGCTACGATCCGGAAGCCGAAGAGGCCGAGGTAAAGCAGACCACTGCATCCAAGACGGAAGCTTCCAACGTCGTCTCACCCACGCCAGTGAATCCGCGTGGATACGGATCCGGTCACTCTCGCGAGAAGTCGGCAGCCGAGGTTGAGAGGTTAGGCATGGGTGTAGGAAGATTAGGCTTTGGACAGGTTGGAGGTGGCAAAGCCGCCGCCGGCGCCGCGCCCAAGAAGAACGCCGGTGGATTCGGCTCGGTTGGACCAGTCAAAGCAACTACCGAAGGTAGGTTCCATCATTTTTACAATCGTGTTTACCGTTTGGCAATAACGTACTAAAATGTCTACTAGATGACGACGAGCGTTATGCCCGAAACAAGTTCGGTAACCAGAAGGGAATTTCCTCAGACGAGTTCTTCGGAAAGGGCTCTTTTGATCCTAACGCCCAGGCCGAGGCAAAGACGCGTCTGCAAGGATTCGAAGGTGCTACAGCTATTTCGTCCAACGCGTACTTTGGTCGGCCCGAGGATGAAGATCCCGCGGATGACTACGGCGACCTCGAAACGGCTGCCAAGGATTTCGTCCGCAAATTCGGTATTACCGCCGGCGATGATTTGGATAACCTCACAAGCGCGTTAGGCGAAGGCGCTACTAGACTCCAGGGCGCTATTCGTAACTACTTGAACGGTTAAGTGATCTACCTACCTAAATAAAGGACAGTAGTTAGAAAAACGTAGCGGGAACTTCAATATCACAAGCGGAGAAAGAAAAGCTGGATTCGGCCTCTACACTATCGATGGGATTGGCGGGTCTTAGGAGGCGTCGTGGTGGTGTCGCTATCAAGCTAGCGCTGAGACCTGTATAGGAGATGGTCGGTCGGATGGTAAAAGGGCTGTTACGAATATAAACGGCTTTGCCAGCCCACGACTTGGACGTTATAGAGCAATTGGCACGGTACGCATAGTAATGAAACTTGATTATATACCTACCTACCTAGGTACCTACCTAGGCACCTAACATATTGCGAATTTGGCGTGACGTATGTCAGAAAGATTTATAGGGGGCAGTTAGAAGATTTGTCTAGGTTAATAACTCGGCCGTCGACTTTTAACGCGATTATATTAAAGGTTCAAGTGCTTATAATCTTGTAGCTGTTACTCATTTCTAGTCTAATCAACCCGGCAGTATAACAATCCGTCGCCACTCTAGACAGGTAAAAAGATAAAAAAAAATAAAAAAAGTCGTAACCAGACCCCTGACGTGATTGATTGATTGACTGTTGGATCTATACCAAGCCACACATACCCGCTCTCATTTTTCTATTACCCTCGCGTCTCCGCAAGACAAACAAACATCAGATCCTTGAATTCATCTAACCTTAGGTACCTAACCCTCCCGTCTATACATCCATCCATTCGTTCCCCCTTTCACTTTTCCCTCTCCTTCCGTTTTTTGGTATTTCCTCACGCTATGTAGTTCGCTAGCTAGCTAGTGAAAGCCAGCCTATCCTTGAATTCTTGGAACCTATCATCGACGCGGACTCCGTTCCACGTTTCGCCGCCTTCCGTCATCCCTAGCGTCGGCGTGCCGACTTGCTCGATGGCGAAGCTGGCCGCGACGCTGCCCCACGCGGCTGCCTCTTCGAGGCTCTTCCCCCTGGCCAAGGCGACGGCTAGGGCGCCGAGGAAAGTATTGCCGCCGCCGGTAGGGTCGACGACGCGGTCGGGAGAGCCGGCGTGGTATGCGGGGAGCCAGCGCTCGACGCCCGGGTCGACTTCGATTTCCTCGCGGGCGACCATGCCCTCGGGGTCCTGCAGGAGCCCCGCGAATAGCGCCTCCATGTCCGTATCAGGCTGCAAGCCGCCATGTAGCAAAGCGGAAGGCTTCTTGCGCTTCGGCTGCTTGCCGGGGACTTTGCGCTTTCGCCCGCCGTTCCGCGCTAGGTAACAGCCCTTCTCGCCGGCGCGGACCACGATGGCGAAGGACTGCAGCGGCATGGAACCTAACAGCTGCTCGCAGGCGCGCTCGATAGCTTTCGTACTAATCTCACCCGTTTCTGGGTCTAGCCCCGAGTCGCCCATAAAGCCGGCTAGTTCGGAGTGGTTTGGGCTCATAACGTCGATGTGAGGGAGGGTGTTAGTACAGTTTAATAGCTCGTCCGAGGTACACAGATCCGGTACGGGCTCCCAGATGAAGATAGGCCTGGGTAAGGGGCCACCATCTGCGCTGCTCAGACCGCTCCGCCTAGCGCGGATCTCGGTCACGAGTTCGCGGCACCGAGTCGGCGAGCAGATGAGATGAAAGGAACGGGAGGCGAGTAGAGTTGGCGTGAGATCCTCGGCGGTCAGGCGCTTCTTGGGGGTCATATAGCGGAAGGCACGATTCTGATGCTCGTCATAGCCATTCCAGCCGCGTGTAGTAAGACGCTCGGGCGTAGGCCGGATCAGCACGGAGGTCTCCCAGGTGGATATGAGGTCTTGTAGGGCTTCCGGGAAGTCGGAACCTTTGTCGATGATCCAACCTACAGTGTTTGAGAGCGGCGGCGGTGAGAACAACCGTGCCCCTAGGGCGGAGTAGGTGCCGGCACCGCCGAGGATATCTCTTACCGGGGGTTGCGGCGGCTGATATTCAATTTCATCTTGAGATTTAATTACGTTAGTTAGAGTGTAAGTTAGAGTGTATTGGTTAGTTTTAGAGCATAGCGATACTGGTCAAATATCACCGTGGATATCACCGTGGCGTATGCTCGAGAATTCGAATAGTAACATGTCCCAAGTCCATGTCCCAAGCGTACTTAAAGTTTAAGTAGTATCATAGCTTTCCGTTGATCGATCCCACTTGGTCCAAATGCAGTCAACCGATCCGACCCTCAGGTGCCACCAAAGCACCAAAGCACCAAAGCTTTGGCATTCACGATCACGGGTCGATGGATGACGACGAGCGGATCCAATGAGAAACGAGTACCTGTTCTCGAGAGACGAAACTAAGGAAGGGGGATGTACCGTACCTATAATAAACATTCCTAAGGTGACGAAGTCTATCTCTTGAGAAGGCGTCTCGCCATCCTCGGTTTTGGGCACATTTTGGTCATCCATAGCTTATCCTTCTGTCTCTCTTTTTTCGAGTCTTAACTTAATATTTCTAATTCTCCTCGGATGACTGTTAGGTGTCATATCATGTCATGTACGATATCATACGGTCGGTGTAGATTTTGGAGTGCATGAACCTCAACCCTAGACCGCCCTCTTTAAATGTGGCAGTGGTAGTGAGTAATAGTTATGTACCGTTAAGAAGGTTTGCGCCTCAACGGTCAAGGGAATATTTGATAGGCAGAAAAGAATCGACCAGGCTGAGCTTCTGCATGCAGCCTCACTTTTTGACGGTTGTTTTTCATATGAAATTTGTTGGTTTCTTGGTTTTCGGGTGGGATGTAAGTTACAACATTCGAGTTGTATGGAATGTGAGGTAGCTAATAAATTATGTATCAAATTATGTATCTACCTAAGGTACACCACTGTACACGCTTTCGTTTAGGTCGTTTGGAGGGACTACACTAGTGTAATGCCTGCAGGTAAAATGCATCTATAACCAATCAACATTACAATAGCATGGACCCACCTATACTATTTAGGATAAGAGACCAATCGCGTTTGGTAAGGGGAAGCCTGGAAGGTGAAAAAGGGTACGTATCCATCCCCTGTTGGTAAAGCTTCAATCGTGCAGCTTCTTGGCCGTTGTCTGAATTTCGATTTCGAATTTCCTACTTTTATTATTGTTGGCCTCGTCGTCATCATCTCGATTATTTCTCCTGCCTTTCATACTTAGGCATCAGCATTTTACATACAAGCACATAAATCTCTGCTCATACTAAGTTGCTAGTTCGACTTGAGTATTGTTCGTTCCTTTCTGTATCGAATTAAAGCGCCCATCTATATCGCGAGTTCAACGTTGTCTCCCCCTCCCCCCTCCCCCTGATCGAAGCTTCGAAACGTCGTAACGTTGTTTAAGTCCTAACTTTAGAAATCCTTAAGCTGCAACTGTCACTTTCAGCTAGGCGCAACTGCCAATATGGCTCAGAACCATATACATAATTTAGTTACTCTAATCAAGAGGTATGTTGTGTTATGTACCTCCTTATGACAAGTTGACAAGTGTTATGCATCCTCGGCATCTTAGCTCTTATATCTACCCCATCTGCAGCTGAGATCTACTGATATTCTAACTCCCAAACTTAGGCTAGAAACTGCTACTACTCGCCTGGAGGATATCGCTTCGTCGACGATAGAACTACCTCAAGCTGTCCCTGCCCTCACGGCTACAGTCGCAACCCCCAGTCCGTCTCACACGTCGAGCCCTATAACGCAGCAGGCTATCACCGCGCCGTCCCCTCCTGCACCGGTGCAAGTGCCTCAAGAGCCTTTACCCGAGTCTATTGAAGAATTCGATGCTTTCATCGATCAGTCGGTTGATAAATATGTCAAGGCTAGCAACAAGTTAGGCGGCTTGATCGCCGAACAGGCTTCTAAAGTCTTGGAGGGGTTCAAGCAGCAGCGCCGGTTCCTGCTGATATCTACCAAGGCTAAGAAGCCCGACATAACGGGATCGGAGATGGTCGTCTACCAGGAACTGCTCAAGCCCATCAACGAGGCCCTCATGGCCGTCGGCAGCATTAAAGAGTCCAACCGCGGTTCTGATGTTTTCTCCCAGCTAAGCGCTGTTTCAGAGGGTATCATGGTGCTAGCTTGGGTCACAGTCGAAAACAGGCCGTACAAGCATGTTGAAGAGTCTCTGGGATCAGCGCAATTCTTTGGGAACCGAGTGTTGAAGGAGTACAAGGACAAGGATACCGACCAGGTTGAATGGATCCAGTCCTTCTATAAAGTATTCCGTGATCTTGCCGACTACGTTAAGCAATATTTCCCCAACGGTATCCCCTGGAACCCGTCCGGACAGCCCGCCTCCGAGGTCGCCAAGTTACTGGAGTCCGCTCCGGCCACTGGTGCTGCATCTCCGCCGCCCCCTCCTCCCCCAGCTGCAGGTGGTGCCCCGCCGCCGCCACCCCCGGGTCCGCCGCCTGTTCTTCAGATCAAGGATCAAGCCGCGTCCTCCAAGCCAGAAGGGATGGGCGCAGTGTTTAGTGAATTAAATAAGGGCGAGAGCGTGACCAAAGGCCTCAGGAAGGTCGACAGGTCAGAAATGACACATAAGAACCCGGCGCTGAGGGCAAGCTCGACCGTCTCGGATTCCTCCGCCAGGGGCAAGAGTCCCGCGCCCGGGAAGAAGCCGAAGCCCGAGAGCATGCGCCTGAAGAAGCCTCCCAAGAAGGAGCTCGATGGCAACAAATGGTTAATCGTACGCGTCTCCCCTCGCCTCTTCTTCTACTAGAGGTTTATTTACTCCCAAGTGTCACGGAAACTAACAGCCCACCAGGAAAACTTCGAGAAGCACCCCGAGCCGATCGAGATCGAGGCCGAGATGTCGCACTCGATCCTGATCAGCCGATGCAACCAGACAACCATCATTATAAAGGGCAAAGCAAACGCGATTACAGTCGAGAACACGCAGCGACTTAGCATCGTAGTCGACTCTCTCGTGTCCACCGTCGACGTGGTCAAGTCGTCCAACTTCGCCCTCCAGGTCCTCGGCACTCTGCCCACCGTCCTGCTCGACCAGCTCGACGGCGCCCAGATCTACCTCAGCAAGGAGAGCTCTTCCACCCGCATCTTCTCCTCCAAGTCCTCCGGCATCAACATCAACGTCGTCGCCGGCCCCGACGACGATTACAAGGAGATTCCCCTCCCCGGCCAGATCTGCTCGTATTACGACGAGGCCAAGGGCGACATGGTTAATGAGATCGTCGACCACGCCGGTTAAGGGGTTATAGGGGTTTGTGCCCTGTGTATGTACCTACATAGGTAGGTAGGTACATATATGCATACTTAGGTCATGGGCAACTGTGGAAAGTAGGATTGGATTGTGCAGCTCGTTTCGATCTACGTAAGGCCAGATACGTTTGAAAGCACGTTCTACCGGGGGTCGAGAGCGCGGTTGAAGAAAATTAAAGTAGTGTAAAGCCAGGATATACCCGGGCGTACTCGCGACCTCTGGGTGTCTACAGTTCAGTGCCTACCGTATCGCCTAAATAGCATGTCGTATTTAAAGCATTCACAACTAGAAATATTCTCATATTTAAACATAAGAATTGAAATAGACCATCAAGTTATTGCGTGACTTGTCTTCTTGAATTCTTAATTTATTCCACAAAGCTACACGTTAGGTAGCTACTAAAGCTAGCTTCTAGGTACATCATATAGAATATCCACCAACACCGATCCGATGCTTTACACTAGAAACCTAGGTAGCGAAACCAACCACAACTGTCGGGGAGAAATGCTCAACGCGCCAACAAGTTGCGCGACTGCATGTACCTAATATATATATGGGGTGAAAGACGGTAACATATCATATCTTCTATTCCTCTCGCTAACGACATAGATAAAAGCGCACGCAGAAAAGGGCCTATATTCCTTACAGCTTAGCCTTGGGCGGCTCGATGGTAGGGAGAAGTAGGTCGCGGAGGTCGTTAGCGGCCTCGTTGATGTAGTAGCTCATCTTATCGCTGCCGAGGCCCTTGGACACGATGTTGAAGTTGAGACTGTTAAGAGTAGGTACGTTAGCATTTTTGTCTCTTGCATATATATATATGGGCGACTAAAAAAGAAAAATAATAATAAAACTCACCTGTTCTCGTTGATCATATACGCAATTCCGAACCCGTCATCGATGACCTGGCTCCAGCCGTAACCATTAAAGAACTCGGAACTAAGTTGGCTGGTAGACAGGAACCAGGAGCTGCTGTAGGCGTAGGCCGGATCCTTGTAGATGGCAGGGAGATCCTCGCCCGGCTCGAGCAACTTCTTAAGGCCGAAGAGGTGGCGGTCGACGCCCTTGCCGTCGGACGCAGCGCTGATGTACTCGATATGCGCCGCGACGGCCTTGCGGAACAGGTCCGCGCGGTCTTTCTCAGAAACCTCGGGGTCGGCCATGGCGTTGCAGAAAGCGACGCTCTCGTCTGAGACGGTGCGACACGTCTCTGTACGCCCCTGCTGGAAGCGCCGGGTTGCGGCAGACTCGTACGTTGGTCGGTTCTTGCCGTACATCTTGTGGTACGCCAGCTGGATCACCATCTGCACATACGCGTCGGGTGAGCACTTGAACTTCTTGATCAGGCCCTTGCCGTAGGCCTGGTAGGCCTGGACCGCGAGCTCGTGCTTTCCGATAACCTCGTTGAAGTCTCGGATCGCGCGGTCGATCTCTGCCTGCACATCCTTTGTGACTTCAAAGTCGACTGGAGTTGGCTCGGGTAGGCTGGATCGCACCGACGGGTCGCTGAAGTCAAGCTTGTTGCCGAAGATGACATCGTTGACGTAGTCGTTCAACCGGTGTGTGGGTGTGCCGTCCATCATGCTATGCTCGCCCAGGAAACCGGACGTACCGTTGTCGTTCACAATAAACTGTAGGGGCTTGTCATACCATCGGTTCTGGCCGTCACCGTGCCAGTACTGGTGTGCGCGCTCCTCGAGAGTAACTGGCGAAGCATCGTCTAAGCACACAACGAAAGAGGCGGATTCAATGGCTTCGATAGCCGCCTTGTTCTTAGGCGAAGCGTCTAGCAATACCTTGCGCGCGTCCGTCCAAACATCCCTGTTCTCGGAAGTGAGAGCACCTACTGCAGGGGCGCCCTTTGCAAGGTCATAGATGCGGGCGAACTGCGACTCGAGCTCAGAGGTGTTGAGCTGCTTTCCGTCGACTTCGTGGGCAACCTTGAAGAATTGGTTCTTTCGAATGACAATAATGTGCTTGTGGTCCTTAGGGTCATATTTGACAGGGTGATCGGCAGGTCTCGCTGGTACGCGGCTGGTGTTGAACATCCACTTGTAGCTGTCCATGCAAATCGGCAGTTTCTTCATGTATTCAGGTTCGAGCGAGCCTGTGTCAACTTGCTTCTTGAATTCGAGCGCAGCGGTGGTCAGGGCCGCGGCGCGCTTTGCGGGGTTTCTCCGCCGTCGGTCATCTCGGTGAGAGTAGAAGTAGCTGACATAGGGAACAACGGGGTCTCGATAGCTTAGGTACGCTGCGTCGTTCCACCACTCGTATAACCAGTTCTTGTTATTGGGGTTTTCACGCCGCGCGATCAGTTTCTCCTGTAGCTTCCGTCCTACACCCCCAGGTTTTATGAATTCGTCGACGGCCTTCTTACTTGCGGCATATTCGACGGGGCTTAACAAGGGATGTAAGCTCTTTACGTAACGGGCGGCCGTCTCTTCGAGAGTCGGGACCGGTAATCGGGGAAGCGAATCTTGGAATCGGAGCATTGCGCCTTTTGACTTGTCCTCCACATACCCTATGCCGTTTTGTTAGCAATTATGAATTATGAAAAGTCGAGTCGCCTTCTCTCTTGCGCTTATAGAACTAACCTGCGGGGAGGGAGCTGTTGCTCCGTCTCGCTGCCGGCGCCATTAATATACTCTTTATAGTCGATAAAGGTTAGCTTTGCGCTGTTACTCGATGATATTCAAAGATTAGGATTCAGAGCACGCACCTTGGGTGTTATACTTTGTCTTATCACGGGTATTCTCAGAGCGGTAGCCTGTGCCCGACTCTTTGCCAACGAACTCAACATTACCAAAGGTGTTGTCTCTGAATACAGAGTAGAATACGAAATGAAAAAGGGAAAAAAAGAAAGCAATGACCAACAAGCTAGGTCGTACTAAGGCTATCTCGCGAGTCGTGGGTACTATGTAATGTAATCAAAGGAACCGCGGTATGATGCGGTACTAATGGTGTCCTTGTAAGTGTGGAACCTAGGCTATTTTCCTTGAACGGGGCTCCGTTAATGGAGTGTTGTTAATTAAGGGAATTAAGGGAATTACATAAAGGCGGGCTGGCGGGTTAAGAGTACCCTCAACTTCGTACCTACTACCAGCGGTTAGCCGATAAACCGTAGCTGCTTCAACCGCGAACCTTAACAAAATGGCGTCGGCACTGCGGCACTGCGGCAGTATGTCAGTAGTGTATGTCCGGAAGGACGCAAGCTACAGCCGCATCTGGAAATTGGCTGTGCAAAGTGGATTGCTTCGGCTGCCAGATCCCCGATGCCGAGGTAAATCGAATCTATGGATCTCTCGTTCCCCAGATTTACGTACCCAACTTATTTTAACGCTTTAACCGCGACTCGCGGGAATTTATCTTGTGGCTTGGCCTCACAAGATCAATTGTCAAATGACCTAACCCCATAAACCGTTAGCCACACCCTGTTGATTTCCATTTTCACATGCAAAGCGCATTTCGCATCCGATCCACATCGCGCTGCTGCGTAACGCTTACTTACTGCTTCATATGATTTCGAAATATTCTAGAACGATGCGACCCAGATGTTTGGTTTATTAGACTTTGAATTGATTGGATGGATACCATTACACGGACCAGACCTGCATATAGAAGATCTAGCTCACAGTTGAGCGTTTGTTATGTTCACTCAGATCTATCTGTATTGAGTGCCAAGCGAAATGCAAGCAACTCGACAAGTTCGCTTTTCGATCCTCTCCCTTGAAAACCAACAGCAAAGATCTAAGAACGGTCTTGATTAGGTGAAAAGGCTATGCGATGGCATTATGGTATTCTAAATGTTATATTATCCACCTATTGTTCTGTTGAGTGGCACAAGGAATGGAGATCCGTGCTTGACGCGTGGGAACATGGAATCTTATTTATCTATACATGAAAGGTATTGAGTTAGTTCAACATATTTCAAAAAGATTATACTTCAAGGCTGATTAATCAATCTATTTTTCATATATTGAAGTCGATATTGCAATCTTCAAGAGACTATCAATCATTTAACCTCTACGTAATATTAAAGACCCAGTAATGAAGATGACGAGAAGTCTTCACGAGCAAGTCAGCATCTTAGCTAGACCTGAGACTTTTCTCCGCGTTGCCAGAGCATCCATGTCTCACCCGCGTTAGCTATAGCTTCCGCTGCAACTTCAGGTCTTATTAGCATTCTCAATCCCACTACCGCGTCTTTGTTGTATAGACATTCCACCAAAACCGCGACCATGGCTATCTCAACCATTTGCTTCAAATGCTTCAAATACGGGCTTGAAGTCCTTCGTTTTAGTCTTCCAATCCCAGGCCAGGTCGTTTCTTACAGTTCATTCTTTTCTCTGCTAACAAGCTTAGTCACTCTTTTACCACCACCTTCTCTTCTTACTTCGCTCTTTTCTGAGTCTTCAAGTCGCTCCTTTACTTTATATTTGTCATTCTGGACATTCGTTTGGGATAATAGTCGCCGCAATGGCAACGGGATATTCACTCACTACGCATTATGCCGGCCAGGGGCTGCTTGATAGCTTCAGTTTCTTTACCGGGAACGATCCCAGTCATGGCTTTGTTGAGTATGCATCCGTGTCCAACTGTTATGGAATAATGTTGTCTTATATATACCTATCTAACTATATTGTAATAGTTATCAAAGCAAAGAGGAAGCTTTAGCTAAGAACCTGGTTTCCGTTGAGAGCGATTACAATAGCGTGAGACTCGGTGTTGACTCAAACAATACATATTCGAGCAGCGATAAGGGGCGCCCAAGCGTACGGCTAACGAGCGATGATGCCTTTACCCACGGCCTTTTTATTGCGGATATCTATCATATGCCGGCGTCGACATGCGGCACTTGGCCTTCCTGTTTGTTCTGATTATCCCACCTATCGTAGTTTGATCTGACATGTTCGTTAGTTTGGGCTTTCAATAACCAAGAAAACGGAGCGGAATGGCCTTCGGGAGGTGAACTAGATATTATAGATGGCGCCAACACCGCTCAACGAAACTTATACTCTGCTCATACGTAAGTACATCTATCTACAAGCCATGAAGCCCTACTAAGTGGAGCAGAACTACAGGATGCAAATCTCCCAGTGCTGGTTTCACTGGAAAGCAAGGTCGAGCAAACTGCTCACCAACAGTAAGTCAAGTGTGATAACTGTTGCAGGACATAGCTAATACGTAGAACTTAGCTTGATAACACCGGCTGCGATACCGTATCCCCTCCATCCGATACTACTTCATATGGCGATGCCTTTAACGCCGAAGGCGGCGGCGTGTACGCTCTAGAGTGGGATTCTGAAGACCTGAAATTATGGCATTTCCCACGCTCTACGATTCCCGATAACATCGTATACGCTCACGTCCTAGGACCAGACCCCTCGACCTGGGGACCACCACAGGCCGTTTTCGGCGGCTCTTCTTGTAGTCCTGATGAATACTTCTTCAACATGAGTCTCGTGTTAAATATAGTAAGTTTGCATCACTGGTAAGGCTACAATATACTCATACGGGGTAACAGAACTTCTGTGGCGATTATGCAGGCAAAATCTGGGGTAAAACCGACCAATGCAATCGTCTCGCCCCTACGTGTGAGGAATTCGTTGCCGGGAATCCTGATAGTTTCCAAAACGCGTAAGTAATCATATAAACTACCTAAGGAGTGTCGTTTAGGAGCTAAGTGTAATGGAAGTTACTGGGATATCAATTTCATCGACGTATATCAAATGGGACCGTTGTCAGACTTAACGATACCGCCCCTTTCCATAAACGCTACATCCACCAGTATTTCATCAGCACCTAGCGAAATAGAGACAACAACCAGCGTAGTTCCAACCCATACCCGCACCATCACGTTATCCACGGTAAAGCCTACCGAGACCGGCGGGGTCTCGACACATCCAAGGGATATTAACGGCCACACTCTTCTCGGGTGTTTCCAACCCCACGCGACCTACGAGTCGTTTTCTCAGGTTAGATCGTCGGCAGATATGGACAGCAAAGCCTGCGTGTCTGCTTGTGCCGGACACAAGTATGCCGGTGTGCAGGGCGAGTAAGTACCTAACCTAACACATCAAGCAACATACTTGTCATCGGTTATACTAACCCGCATCACAGCACATGTTACTGCGCCGATACACTCGAAGAAGCAAGCGGAGTCGAGAATGAGCAATGCAATACGCCGTGTCCTGGAAACGGACATGAAGTCTGCGGCGGCCTCGTCAACCCTGCTTCTACACAAGGTCCACCTAGCCACTCTCTCCCGACGAATTCCTCTGCATCAGCACCTCAACCTCACCACCATACCTCCTTGGACAACATCCTACTAACCGTCTACGGAAACCTATCCAACGAACCAGCGCCTCCAGCCGCACCCGCAATGGGCGGCCGCTACGACGACCACGACCACGACTACCACCCGTCAGTAAAGCCAGCGCATAACGCGCCGGTAACAACAGACGTAACCATAACATACACAACCGTATGTGCCTCGAACCCAGCAAAACTAGTAGAAGTAGAATACCACACAACAGTAACATACGCCCAATGCACCTGCACCAGCACCAAATCCCAACCCGAACCAGCCTACCCGACGACAACAAACGTCCCTCCCCCTCCCCCAGCAGCAGCCCTCGCCGCCATACCCATGAAGATGTACAAGGCAACATGCCACGCGTGCGGTCCGCACGGCGAGAGCACCGTGACGCTCACCGTGCCGAACGCCGTGTATACCTCCTCCCAGGCCGTCGTTACCGCTACGGCCGTGCAGACCGTCATTCCCCTCGTCAGCAACGGGACTGGGACTGGTCTCGCGAACGGGACGGCCGCGGCCGTGGCGATGGCTACTTTGACTCCCCCGCCTCCACCGAGTCCTCGACCTACTAGCAATAACGTAAAACCCCTCGTGGCTGCTGCGGCTCCTCGCAGCGAGACTTTGAGCGCCGCGCAAATTGTTGGCTGGGGCGTGGCGGCGTGGTTTGGTCTGTTTGGGATTATGCTTGTCTTATGATGAAGTCTACTTACTTTCTATGTTTCCTTCCATTGTCTAATTTCATTTCTTCGGGTTGGTCAGCTGTCTACGTTTCCTTTCCTTGGGCTCTCTTGTATAACGTGTATGATGCGGAGTTTATGGAATTGGGGGAGGTCTGGCGTGATAACGATGACGAATTTTTAAGGATTCGGGTTTATAGGCTTTTATGCTATGTTCGATTACCGGCTAGCCCGTGTCAATACCCAGTAAACACTTTTCTTAACTATCAAATACAATATTATCTTCGTCCTCTATTTCGGTATTCACAAATGTCGCTTTAAACTTTTCAACCTATATCCAAACCGGCACGGTATTCCGTTATTAGTCCAATAACTATTAATCTCCCGTAAACTCGGGTATGACGGCATCAAGCCCCTGAGATATAAACCCGCCTGTCAACTTAGGATGTGGGTTTAATTACCACTTGGATGCTATTCCTTGCCAATAAGCCTTCACGTAGCCCTCCTATGATCTCAAATTGTGATCGTTATAGGGGCCTTTCTACTCAATTTCCCCGAAGTCCCGTTCTGCATACCAGCATTGATCAGGATGCTCCGGTTTGCAACTCCTCCGAGGAATAGCCAGTGCCATAAAATGCTAGTGACGCCGTAATACAGCACCCTGTATACATCCAGCCAGGCCCGGTAGTCGAGTACGTTGTAAAACAACCCTGGCTTCGGACGAGACATGGCTCTCTCGTACTGCTTTTGACACTCATCCCAGAACACGTGCTGCAACCCCCGGCCACAGTGGACATGGCCAAACATGTGCACTTTGGGCTTTTTCCGCCATATCTCTCGAAGTAGATGAGGACAACCAAGAGACAGATCCAGATGATGTTTCTAAACCGATATATTTAGATACAGTTGTTGTAACTCACAAGGGTGCTTACTTACTGGTGGAGTATGCGTAACAAGAATATCCGTATCTATGGGCACGGTGTCTTCCCACGGGTTTTGGTACGATGCGTATTGGAATCTGTAACAGTAACTTATATTTAGAAAGCATATCCAAACACCATAAAAAGGGGCTGGCTTATACATACGCATTATCGGGCCCACCGCACTCAGGTATATCAGGGGCACCGTAGATGTTCAATTTCCGCCCCTCCTGAAAGTTAAGGGTGATAGATTGGTGCTCAAGATAATGTATTGTTCTCATATCAACAGAATCACCACGAATCTTGTCTTCCTCCGTCCTAGAGCTAATATCGAACCAGCTATCGTGGTTACCACAGACAACAATCTTGTGCTGGTGTGGTAAAGAGGCCAGCCAGTCGATTTGTTTTTGAATGGAGGCAGCTTTACCGTCATTCACCAGGTCACCGCAGTGGATTAATAGGTCGCCATTAGGAACATTTTGAACGATAGACTCATGCGTATCCGATAAGCACACAATCTTGATGGGGTGCTTTCCCCGTGGCGGTCTAGTTCGGTTACTGCGTAGCCATAAGACTATGTGGTATATGTAGAATATAAGCCCCTGAAGAGGCGCCTCTAGAAGCCAATCTAGTATCGTCGGACGCTCCCAGATGATGGGGCGGCGTAGGCCGAGCCGAACGAGCAGTGCCATGGCGATGGGATTTCTGTTTGCTGCTCTACGACTTATTGGGTAGTTGATGAGATATGAATGTTAAGGGTTAAATACCAAGGGGGTAAGAGTAGCATCGCTTTTTATCAAACAGACAAGAAGCAACATAGTGTCATAGCTATATCCCGGTTCCGAAGTTTATTTTAAAGTTGGACCTGACAGAGATGTCGTCGTGTTCCTGCCGCCGCAAAATGTAACAGCAGCAAGGATCCCAGCTAGCCTTAGAGGCCCATTCGGCACAGATCCCAGCGGAACGTGCTCGCTAATGACACCTACGAACCCTGTAAAAATGCGCTAAAGCTTGCTGTGGGCGACAAGTTTAAACTGTTTAGAGCAGTTTATAGCGCACATCACCCAAAAGTTTATCGCGGGGCATCTGGGCATTTACAGGGGACGCACGGGCCAAGGTGGCATGTCATCAATCTGTTCAATCCAAGTGGTCCCAATCGCATCAAATGCGAGATGACGTTGATCAACAACTTGATTTTATTGTTGCCGATTTTCCTTGATATCGGGCCATTCAGCTACACACATGTAGGCGTATGTAACACATGTACACTTACCAAATTTAATAGAGGATCACAATCTTATACACTTCCTACAATCGCCCCTCCTAAGAAACTTTTCATACCCTCGATTTTCTCTATTAATACTTTAATATCCCACCAAATCCAAATCCTAGACCTAACACATCACAATTAGTTGGGCGTCTATACTTGGGCAACTCAAGGCGAAAGGCCTCACCGAGCCGACATAACTACGACTATTGCCAGATCATGTCGAGCATCCGGTCTCTCTATGCCTCCGACGGCGGTCACCTCGGGGGCAATATGGACGTAGATTATGTCGTTCAGTACAAGGTTTCCAGCGACAGAGCTGAGGCCGCGGCTGGCTTCACTCAGCTTATTGAAGCCCTCACTAAGGTTGGGCTCGCTACAGAAGTTCGATACGGCGACGGGTCTTCCTTATTGGTCTTTGTTAAAGTAGCATCTGAGAAACATCTAACCAATCATATCTATCGCGAACGTGTTCAAGATTGGCTGTATGGCGTGCGCATTACCACCCCTAACAAGGACGTGGCTAAAGAATTCGCCGACCAACCTGTCACTGAAGCTGAGCGCCTGCGTACCGTTTACTTACTGATCACGAAGCCCAAGAACCAAGGCGGTGCCGGTATTGCGCCTAAGATTGGCGTATGGAAGGATGTGGAATCTATCTTCCCACTTCATAACCACGCCTTCAACCGACGATGGATTAAGCAATGGAGTACTAAGTACTTCCTAGACGACCGAGACCTCGACCAAATTCGCGATAAGTTCGGCGAAAGCGTTGCTTTCTATTTCGCCTTTATGCAATCCTATTTCGCATTTCTAATATTCCCGGCAGCATTCGGCTTCGGCGCTTGGCTTATCCTTGGTCAATATTCCTGGTTCTATGCTATTGTTAGCTCCCTCTGGTCTATCATCTTTTTCGAGTGGTGGAAGAAAAAGGAGGTCGATCTCGCCGTCCAATGGGGTGTTCGTGGAGTATCTCGTATCCAAAGGCCCCGAACGCAGTTTAAATGGGAACATGAAGCCATAGATCCCATCACCGGCGAAGCTGTGAAGGTTTATCCCCCAATGAAGAGATTGAAGACGCAGTTGTTGCAGGTTCCCTTTGCATTTGGCTGTCTGGCAATCCTTGGGGCTCTCTATGTCTTCTGTTTTTCTATCGAGATCTTCCTTACTGAAATTTATAACGGCCCATTCAAATCTTACCTGGTTTGTAGAACCTCCCAGTCGGGTGATATATTATCTAATGCGTTGCCAGACTTTCACGCCTACCATAATACTCACCGGATTACAACCAGCACTGTCGACTATTCTTAGTAGTTTTGCAGAGAAGCTCACTGATATGGAAAATTATGAGACGATAGACAGTAAGTGGAGTCTTCCGATATTCTCTGGTTTATATATCGTTGACATCTATATAGATCATCACGCCGCCCTTGTTCAAAAGTTATTCATTATTAACTTTATAACCTCTTATACCCCCCTTTTCTTGAGTGCATTTGTTTACATGCCCTTCGGGAACCTTCTCGTGCCATACCTGGATATTTTCAAGATCACCGCCGAACAATTCTCTAGCGAGGAGTCCATCACTACTCAGGGCTTTCAGATCAACCCTGATCGTCTGAAGAAGCAGATGATATATTTCACAGTAACAGCGCAAATTGTGAATTTCGGTCTTGAGGCTATTGTTCCCTACGTGAAGCGCAGGGCATTCAAGGAAGTTGAGAGAGTTCGATCCGAGGGTAAGGCCTCAGCATCCAGCGACGTCCCCGAAGAACACGAGTTCCTCGAAAGAGTTCGCAACGAGGCTCAACTTGACATATATGACGTTACTGTTGATTACAGGGAGATGGTTGTCCAATTTGGTTACTTATCCCTCTTTTCGGCGATTTGGCCACTTACGCCGCTTTGCTTCTTAATCAATAACTGGGTTGAACTCCGATCAGACGCCATGAAAATTGCTGTTAGCAGCAAGAGGCCTATTCCTTGGAGAGATGACTCAATCGGACCATGGCTTAACGCCCTCGGCTTCTTATCTTGGTTTGGAAGCCTCGTGAGCTCCGCCATCGTGTATCTCTTTAGTGGTGATTCCGAGGGCCCCGGCGGCGACCCGTCCAACATTGCTGCGTGGGGTCTCTTATTAAGCATACTCCTTTCCGAACATGTCTATTTAGCCGCGCAATTCGTGGTTCGATACGCATTGAAGCAGATGGATTCCCCCGGGCTTCAAAAGGAGCGAGCTGAGCGTTTTGCTATAAGGAGACAGGTGCTAGAGGAGAGCTTGGGGCCTGAAGCTATTGAGAAACCCCTGCCTCCCACACCACAAGTTGGGGAAAGGATTACCCGGGAGTCCTTAGAGGACCAAGCTCGTGAGATATCCACCGTAGGTGGAGGAACCCCTGAACAACTGTAAGTTTCTTCCAAGGCCCAACTAGAGAGCATTTATACTAATTTCTTCAGATTCTGGTTAAGACAGCAAGGGATGGATGAAACGATCCAAATAGGCCGTAATCTAATTTCACAGGCGAAAGCGGCCAAGAACTAGGTGCCTGGGCAACTTTGTATCACCTAGGAGGTTGTAGAAGAAGTCCTTGTAGTTGTGTTGTTGACTATAACGGTGAGCTTGGTGGCCGAGTAGTCGAAATTGGTGTTATAACCCAAACAATAGTAAATCATTATTCACGTACTTTACACTGTTATATAAGACAATTGTAATAATAGAAGACAACTCAGTAAGCTGCTGTCATTATCTACGTAAATATATGGTCTTCCCGAGAGATCGAAGCATATATTCCTCCTATAGGTTCCGATGTGCGAGACTTCGAAACACAAGTCAAAGGCATAAATGTATTGAAGTATGGGTTGATATATCATCTATCAAACTTTTAATAAGCCCACACCCCATCCAATACAAACCCAACCCATGCCGCTAAACAAAAAGGAACAGAAAGTCAATGTTTTCCGCTAAACCCGCCCAACAAGAATAGCTTGCTCGGTTTGTGTCTCCCATTCGTCTCCGGTAAGACTAACTTAAAATAAATAAAACTAAATAACTGTAGAATAACGAAGAAGAAGAAGAAGAAAAATAAGAATAAACAATCTAGTTAACACCGGCGCCAGACGTAGCTCCAGCTCTCAGAGGCAGTAGTATCAGGGTCCTTGCCGAAGTAGCCGTACTGAGCGCCGTCGGCCTGGAGAGCGACGCGGAAGTTGACGTTGAGCAGGCCGACGTCGCCCTTGGAGCTCGTGCAGGGCGAGTACACGACCTGGTCGTCGGGAACGGTGCTATGCGCCGTAACGTCTTGGCTCACGCGGCCGGTGCCGCTGTTGGCTAGGGAGCCCCTGATCGTGGCCTATGTGGACATGTTAGCTACCTAGGTAACTATCTCTACTACTTATTCACTTGGGTACTTATATCAAGTACAAGCGATAAACCTTCCTTTAAAATGGCAAAAGAGAAGAGAAAACGATAATAATAATTTTTTTATAAAAAAAAGGCAAAGTAGTTCAAAACAAAACATACCGTCTTCCCAGCATCCTCGCTCCAAAAGCTCGTAACGTAATAATCCAGCGCGGCGCCCGGGTCGAGCACCAGATGGCCCTTAACATACACGTCCTTGACGCCGACCTGCCAGCCGGCCGCGGACCCGGCGATGGACAGGTGGGCCTGGCAGTTGACGGATGCGTCGGCGGGTGCTCCGCCGGACGTGGTGCTGGTGCGCGCCTCGAACGAGTTCAGCCGCAGCGATATGTCGTCGAACCCGCCCGTGCGGTCGACCGCCGGCGAGGCCGACGGGCACCCGCTGCCCGAGTAGGATACCGATACGATGCGGGGCGGGGGCGACGGCGCGTCTTCTCGCGTGAGGAGGAGGAGTTGGGGTTGGGGGTTTGCGGCGGGTGCGGCGGGTGCGGCGGCGGCGAGGCTGGCGAAGATGGGGAGGAGGGTTGAGGTGCGCATTTTGGGGGTTCTTTTTGTTTTATATCGTGGGTGAGTTTGTTTGGATTTGGGATTTGGGTATAGATGAAGTTGGGGATAGAGATGGAGCTCTCGAGGACTTCTGATTAAAATATAGATATATATAAGGCAACTTTGCTTGTCCGTACGATTATCTGATGAGTACCTATGGAGATCTTCTATTCCAACAACGGGCGGACAATACGAGTCTTTATAGAAGACGCCTCGTCCAATACATCATCACATGAACATGAGATATCCCAGGAGCGCAACTCACGCATCAGCTCCGCGAAGCTAAAAAAGAAATCTCGAACGCCATCGACATCTGCAAATCGAAATCAAGACTGCCATTCTGGGCCAGGGTCCATGGCCCAGCCCTTTTCGATAATTTCGCCTCCTAATCAAGAATACCATCCCATTTCATCCCATTGCCATCACCTTACCTACCTACCTAGGTACCTACACGCGCGTCTGTCCGCCACTATCGCATCCAAACGAAGTAACAAATAACGGTAGCGAACTTCTTCGCTAATTCTCGCGAGCCCTACCAGCCAACGGTAAGAAGGTAGCTGGGGCGTGGGCACTTTAACCATATTAACCAGCTGCCCATCGCGTGTCCGGGAAAAAAGGTCGTTGGAGCCCCGGGGCCCTGAAGTAGTTAGGTGAGACTCTCAATCTTCCCACTAGATCCCAGCGCCCCGGGTAATAAGAAAAGAGACGGACGCTGCGAGCAGGGTATCCGTGATAGCAGCTGGTCTAGAATGCCTCGCTCAGTCCAGATGTCAGGTTTTAATTAGCGGTGCGCGAGACTGGGTCAGTCTAAGAAGCCTTTCGACCCAGTGCTCGGGCGTGCATTGTGGACAGTTTTGCATCGAAAGACTTGGTAACGAATATATTCCTAGTATATTCCTGGGCCCGTTCCGACGTGCTGCGTCGGCGACGAAAGCGTGGTGTTTATTTTCGCATCGAGTCTAGATCTCGTCTTGCTTCTATTTATGGAATGTGTCGTCGTGGCTCTAATCACCCTTGCCGGCGAGTAGAGCAAGCCTAGACCAACGTAATCGGTCCATTGCCGTCTGAATTGCTTGCACCATTGCAATTATAGACTATCGAGGAGCTTTGCAAATGATTGACAGCTCTTCTGGAGCCACCTGCAGGACCAATAGACGAGATTACTCGTTCGTTGTAAGAAGCTCTAGTCGGGATCCATGGCCTGTTGAAATAAAACCGGCCCATCTAGACGGATATCTTATGGTGATGGACCTTGATAAATATATGTCCTTCATTAATAGTATACCTTAAAGCCTCATGTTGTTCATCAGATACTCCGCCTAGGCTGTAGCTTTTTGTAGATGCTACCCCAGACGCCGGTGCCTGACCCAATGACACATGCAGTTGCAATATAATCCAGATCCCAAATCTTAATTAAACCATAATACGTCTTAGACCCTCCGTGCCGCCGAGGACCCGACGTCCTGTTACGGCACATCTACCCTGGCCGCTTTCCCACTTGCCGGCTTGATCGGCCATAAACTCTTCCTGTCTCTGATGTGAACCTTCGATCCACCTATGTATGCAGGCATAGCAGTAGACCACACCCGTCTGGCAAGCCGTCGCCGTCGTGATTTCGTCTTCGCAGATGGGGCATAGCTCAGAATCTTCTGGCGCAGGTACAGTGAAGATAGGGAGCATTGATGGAGTAGCAATTGGCGCATCCTCTGCTGACGGTATCTTAGGTCGTTCCTCTTCTTCCTTCTTACTTTTCTCGTCGTGACCCTTCTTCTGCGGTACCTTAACTCCCAGCGCGGATAAACCAGACACGACAGGTGGCGGTAGCTCGAGGTTCTCGGCAGCCTTCCTCGACAGCTGCTTCGCAAAGTCCGATGCGTACCACCATTCGAGGAACTTCAGCGCAAATATGCTGGTCGGTAGTAGGACTGACAAACTGCTTAACAACCTCGGTCCCATTATTCTGGGATTGAGGAGACTGGAGGCCGTAAGGGGCGGGTTTCCCGCCTTTGGTTTGCTTAGCGCCTCAATGGCCCGGAAATCTGCTTCATTCATCCTACGCATCCTAGTGCCGATGAGCCATAGGAATGGATTATGGTATTTACTGCCGTCGAATAGATAGGCTAGATTAAAGGCAATGATGCTGAAGTAGTAGGCGGCATGTACGCTTGGATAGATATTACGTATGAACCACTTGTAATAATGTAACAGTCGCTGCTTAAATGTCGGATTCGCAGGCATACGGGTATAGTTTGCACCGAGAAGGGCTCGTGGGGCTTCGATCTCGTGGCTCTCGTCCAGCTTCCGCTTTAGGTACGGGAGAGCAACCATAACAGCCAGATTCTTCCAAATATCCTTCTCGCTCAACTTAAGAGTTTCCCGTACCAGCTCCGGGGCGCGGGCGGTAGCACGAGGTACCTCTGCCTGCAGCGACTTTTCTCGTTTAAGGCCATAGAAGTGTTCAGTAAAGCTGCCGCCGCGTGTTCGTAAATAGTGGCGCTCGATAACGAGCATTGCGAGCGCGTAAAGCTCATCGAAGGAATTAAGGACACGTAGTAAATAACGGGGGTATCGATGAGTCGCGACGGTGAGAAGGTATCGTAATGTCGGTGGTAGAAGTGAGTTAAGCTGTTGTTCTGAAAGTAATTCAAACAATGAGGGTTTCTGGTCGTCAAAAGTGCCCCGAAGGGCTGTGACGAATTCCATCTTGGCTATTACTAGCGCGAGGTATGCGAGGTATGCAAGCTATACCTCAATTTTCTAGGTTGCTTGATTGTTAAGAGCAGAGCATGTTTTTGTAGGAATTTAAAATGTAGATTGAAGCACAAGCCGACAAGACACGACCCAATCCAAATAACAACTTTATCTATGGAAGTTACGAAGTACATTACTCGGTACAAGATCGACGAGATGCCGAGGTTGACGTAAAATGAAAGGAGCTCGGGCCATGATTACTGCTTACCTAATATAACCCCATAGCCTATCGGTACCTGCTGTTAGAATAACGTAAAAAGGATGGCGCACCTACCAGCATAATTGTTAGTAGACTACGCCAGTTATTTGACGCATTTCTGCTGTGCATACCTAGGTAGTGTATGTACCTAGGTTGACGTTAGATACAGCGATGGTATCAATCCTACGTCCTTTTCCCTTTTTATATAAGCCGTAATACATATCCTTTAAATTGTTGAATGAATTTCTATCATGTTTCTAATTTATAGCTATAGGTAGAATAGTCTTAATGCATACTTGAGCATCAACAAAATATATAGGAGGAATCATTGTAAAGCACAGCATACCTCTCCCGACTCCAACCAGACCGAGTTTAGAAATAGGATAAAAAAGTCTAAGCTAGTTATCCATCCACGTCGCCCAAGCCATGCCCGTAAATCCAGGCTCATATTCTTCATCTTCATCGTCGTCCGATCGGTAAGCCGGCCGGTCAAATTCGTCCTCGTCACCTAGCTTATCGAGGGAAGTATCATGGATACTGGGCAGAAAATGCTGCATAATTTCGCTGTATTCTGCTGTGACATCGTCCGAAACCTTCCAAAATGCACTTGGACCAGCTGGGCCATGCGGATCGAAATCCCTAGACATCTATTTAGCATACACGCGACACATAGGTAGGTAATAGCAGCTAAGGTCCAATTAACTTACTTATCAAACCAATGACCCAACACTCCCTTAGAGCTCTTAACACCACCAATCTGGACGCTCTCACTACGCCATCTCTCTTCACCGTTGAAAATTGAAAAGGTTGTCCAGTGTACCTCGCCTTCACGGGTCAAGCGAACGGTACCTTTCTCTCCAAGCACTTATCAGCAAATTCAGATATCCCGGAAGCGAAAAGGGGAACGTACCTTTCATACCTCTCAAATCCGAATTGGCATTTTCATCATAGCTGTCGTCAAGCGACTGGGAAATTCCCTTGAAATGTACAACTGGCAGTTCTTGTCCATCCTCGGGCCCAGGGGGCTCGATACCAGTCACACGAACCCTCATAAGGATTAGGCGCGTGGCTTGGCCAACATCAAGAGCAGGTCGAGGGACATTCCGTGGAAGTTGTGCGCCTTCGGCGAAGTTATATATGTGAAAGTCTGTATAATCCAGGAAGCATACTATGCGTAGCCAAGTCCCTGTGACTCCATACGGGTCCTGATGTTCTAACGGATTCGGGACTTTCAAAAATTCCGGCTTTCGAGAGATAGAATGTGGTATATAGCTTTGGGGCCATGTTCCTGCGAACGGTGTGTCCCAAAAGCTCCTACATAGTGGAAACCTCGCAAGGCCAAGCCTCTGAAGGTTCGATCCGATCACGATCATAATGGCTTCGGCTTTCTCCCAGTCCACACGGTCTGTGTCGTCATCCATAAACGGGCCCCATTTCGTGTTTGCTGTGTATCGCCTTAAGTCGTATACCATAGAGCAGGCATACGGGCTCATCTTGCTTTCTCTTGTCTGATGGGACTCTGGCCGCGCATACAAAATCGGCACTCCAAAAAGGCAGTGTAAATGTGCACTCTTCTGGTGGTCCTCCTGTACGGATGAGATATCGCTATCCGAACAGACGCATTCTTTCCGAGCGCGCCCGAAGATGGCAGACCGGCACAAAAAGGCAGATTGGTTAGTCTCTTCCTCGAATATGGAGTGTAAAATGTCAGCGTTACGGGATCTCAGATGGGTTGTTAACGGTAATCGCTCAGTATCGGTGGCAGCGTTCTGGAGGAAAGACTTGACAGTGTCATAAACGAAGGAGAGTTCATTTTTCTACGTAGGAAAGAGTTAGAAATTGAACAAATTCGAATTATGAGTCAGCTAGACATAGTAAACACAAGCATGTAAGGTTCGAGAAGTATCGTACCTTATCTTGGACACGATCTCTTCGACCTATACCCTGTAAACGGACGACATCGTGAACTGCCTGCGTCCAATTTACGACGGGCTTATTTAGAGGATTATCATAATTATTAAGATAAACAATCCTGAAAAGTGAGGTATTCCCATTGACAATATGATAGAGGTACTTGCAAACGCGGGGGATCCATCCTAAGTCGGAGGGTTCGACGTAGCCAAGGACATGTTGCACGATCTCAGGTGGAAGTTCAGTTAGAAGGACCATCTTTTTGGCATATACCAGAGGGCAAGCGAGGCAATCTCTCGCTCTCTCGCTTCTCCTACCAAGGTTGTGATGACGGCTCGTTGGGATGTAAGCTTAAGCCACGAGGGGGACCATACGGAAGTTTTGCTGATTGGGGTTCAATGAAGGTAAAGAGGTGGAGAGTTGGATGATTACATACTTACGATTGGGAATTGCTGCAAACTAGTCCTTAGGTAGGAACCTACATCGGAATTAATAATTGCATATAACCTTATACATCCATATGTTAGGTAAGTACTCGGATTTAACACAAGAGCGTGCCTTCTACATACGAATAACCCATTGCGCCATTTCCATTATTTAAACCTAGGCAATTCTAAAAGTCCGGCTCTTACCTGCTTGAGCTTAGAATGAATATCGCTTTCCTACCACCGTCGACGTATGACTTCATAAATTTAGATGTATAGTGTATGTATTTGTACCCATGGAACCCACGGACTTTACTACATAATGTATTTAACTTCAGTATTTAACTTCACGACGCTATGTACCTACCCAATTAACCGGCAGCCAGGGTCTCGCTTCCATTGCGACAGCTACCATGTACATATGGATACCTTATGTAGTGTCACATTGTCCAACAAGGATATACCCAACTGCACCTTTACTAGGCAGTAGTTTGTACGGGGTATTAAACCCCCCACGTTCCGCATTTCCAACTATAATAGCTAATGTAGCTCGCACTACCTAAAGGCGTGTGTAGTACTAGTACATATATAGTCCCGACAACTCACGATAAAATGCAGTAAGAATTTTAGCCTTGGCAGAAGTATTATAGATTCAACACTCGTGCTTCTTTCCGGACGGCGTTAACGCTACGTGCAATACCCCAAGGATTCCAACTCGACCAACACTATTTGACCTTCCTTCAGCACTGACTGCTAAACTGAACATGTCGGCACTTAGACTGCAGAATATCAAAATGAAAACTCCCCCTATATTCAAAATGATGATGAGTGTATGCCTCCGCATGCTTTGTAACGAATATTCGAATAATTTTCTCCAGTTTTTGGTATATTGTAGATTGTGTATATATATGTATATATCAAACAGCAGTAAATATCACATAAATGCGACAGCGATGTGGTTGTGCGACACCGTTACGTCGTGTTGGGTATATGATGCGAAGTCGCGGTTTTTGCGTAGTTACAATAGTAAAAAGTCCAAGGGTCCAGGGTCCAAATACTCTGGTAGACGCTATGATCCTCGTTAAGAAATGTTTTTAATGTCGCTTGTCCGTAATCCGTTCCTCCTCATACATCAGTTAGCCATCCTCAGATTCTCGTTCATCATGCTTCTGTATATTCCTTGCTTCTTCCTTCTCGGGAGAGGTTTTTTTTGTTTCGTTGTATTTTATCCGTAATGGGCTTCGCTAAACCACGGTTGCACCACTGTTGAGCTGGATACAATTGCTCAGTAGCGTTGCTCCTTCGTGCAGCAGCTCCCACCGTGTCGACTCGAACGAGTCCTTAAGAACTACAAGTAGAGTACTGTTATTGTTGACACCCCTCATCCCTTTGAGGTCTTCCGGTGATGCCACCGAACCAACTCTCAGCAGGTACTCGCGCATCTGGCTCATTTTCTCCTCGGTAGTATTCGGAATGGGGACACCGGGACAAGGGCCCTCCAACGCGAAACCGTAGCACCATACAACTAATGCTGCGAAGTAGAGCACCCATGGCCGGTTCAGGAGGACGTCGTCTCTGGCTAGATACATCAAGATACCCGATTGGTGGCTGTAACCCTCCGAAGGCGATCCTGCATTTTCGGGGAGCAAAACTGAGCATAGGAATTTAGCAGCGTAAAATGTGGCGTCGCGAGCTTTTGCAGACGGCGCCCAGAGGTCCTTCATTCGACGCTGCGCACTATTTAAATCCTGTGTACCGATCGCTCTACCAAGTAGGCGTTTGGCGCGAGCAAATATCTGACAGTCGACGATATCCACGTGCATTGCCATGTGTGCTAGATGATGTAGCACCGTCCTACTTTCGAATACTACATTAGCTTCGTTCCGCTTGTCGTAGCTATACGGATCGACCACCGTATCAGCGCGTTGCAGCGACTTGTCGAAGTCTGTCTTCCACGAGTCGAACGCTTTCGTAAGTGTTGAACGCCATTTGTCACGGCCCCCAAGCGCTTGTTGCACGCCACCGCCGAGCGAGCTGACTTGCAGGTCACGCTGGTTCATATGCCAACTTACGCTTAGCAAACCTGCCATGAGGATCTGTCGGCCGAAAGGATTCGTCTGTACTTCATGCCCCGCAAGAGTCCGCTTGAGTCCTTCGAGAAATGAGATAGGCTTAATTCCATTAGACATAAGGTTCGCCTCGATCCTACCGACCTCAGCGCCGCTTGTAGCCTTCCATAGCTTATCGTCACAAGGGAGGGGCAAACGCATTTCGTGTGCCACCATCACGGTCGAATGCCCAAACATCGTAGCATGAATCGAATCGATAAGAAACGCCGCGAAAGCTGCGCGCCTAGTAGTCTCGTTCGTTATCCAGTGGTTCCACCACTCATCCGGCGTATGCGCGAGTCCCGAAGTAGAAGAATGCCGAGAACTGTTCGCTCCCGACTTCTCGTCTCGTGGGTTCGGCGGCGAGTCGAGAGCAGATTTCCCAATCAGGGCCCTCCCTCTCCGCATGAGCGTAATGGTAGTCGCATGGTGGATGTGTGCTCGTTCGTGGAGCTCCCTCGTTGAGTACATCTTTTCGTAAAGTTCTAGTAATAACAGAGTCTGGAAGGCCCAGATCTTCGCTGGCGGTCGGCAATTCACGTCCATGAATATTTCCCACCTCAGGTGCCACGCAAGGAAGTTAGAGAGTTGAGACCCAGCCATGATGACCTTCGGCCCGTGCGTTCTATCCAGGCAGGCAGCACCTATTGCCATCACTGCTATTAACAACAAATTCGGCGTCCTATCCGGCGAAAACGTCGGTTTGTGGAGGATAGGTATCTGATCGCTAAAGTGAACCCAGTAAGAACCTATATACTGCTGCATCATCTTTCGGCTTAACATATGGTTCTCGTCACTTCTGTCGCCTTCTAATATGCTTTCTCGTTGACGCTCCACCGGCGCATGATCGTTCTCGTGGAATCTCTCCTTAATAAAGTCAAAAATCTCTTGGCTCTTTTCTTCAGATAAGAGCGACTCCGGGAGGTTCGGGTCGAGAAGATTTGTGACGGCCATGACCTGCTGCGGTTGATTAGACGGCGGGAAATATCCCAGAGATGCACTTTCGTAATACGGCATGCCATATTGATGCTCCGCATAGCTAAATCGGACTATGTTAGTTCGAAGAATATTACAAGTCTTAAAATCAGCCATTGATACGTACTTAGCATATTGATTTGGTGGCATTACATGGCCCACCTGTGGTGACCCGTTAGGATCATTGGTATTAAAGAGATATGCAAAAAAGTCTTCGGGAATAGCAACGTATGGGGACTTATTTAAGACGCCGTCACTACCAAAAATTGGAATGGTAGTTTGCGTCGCCATCTGATCCAGCAGTACCATTTCGCCATTTGATTGAGAATGCGAATGGTCATAATCGTTAGAACTTTGGGGTGCATAAGCTTGTCCAGATTCCCTCGGCATGTTACCAGCGGTTGTCGTTGCGAAATCTGAAGGAGGTAAGGTGAAAGGCGTTAAATTTTGCTGAGTGACGTATGGCATCGTCGGGGCAGACTGAGGGGTATTGGCGAGATGCCCATGATAGCCGCCGTGCTGGGTGGGAACTGGCGACAAAACGCCATAAGGGGCACCGACGCCGGTTTGGATTGTCGGTCGTGGAGGGCCCGAAGGAGAGTGGTGCGGATGTCGCGCACCATGGGGAGCGGGATAACCCTGCTCATGATGCATATAGCCGTCAACTCCGTTTGGATGACCGGCATGAGAAAAGTTGGCGGGCGGTGTATTTGATATCGGAGTATAAGGGGTACCGATAGTATCTTTTGGTGACTGGTATTCATAGTGAGCTCCGCGTCCTTGAGTATAGCTTGGCCCGAGTCTATCGGAATCGGGAGAAACGGCACTGGGCGTAGGGTACGGAGGTCTTACGTTGTCGACAGGAGAAGACTGGCTAATCAAAGAATCTTTCCGATTCAGCGCAGACCCTTTCGCAGTATGGCGATCCTTATGACGGTTACACAAGTCGAGTCGGACGAACTGGCGCTTACAATCCTGAAAGTCGCATCTATATATCTGTTTCGGCGAATGATTCAATTGGTGCCGATAACTTTTCATATCCCACCCAGTTAGTAGAGCAAGAATATTAGTATTATATACGGAATAAAACTCACAGATGTTCAGCCCTTGAATAACTCTTACCGCATCCCTCAGTAGGACATTCGAATTTCTTATCCAGACCTTTGCGACTCCGTCTTCGCTTTCTCACGGGACCATCCGAGTTGGACGAATTACCGTTTTTCGTGTCACCGTCACCTGCCTGGTCGCTCTCATTGCCATCGATATCCCTGTCAGGAGAGCGACTCCGACGACGCCCTCGCTGCGGGTCATCTTCATGCTGAACGTTCTGAGGCGGCGTTGGCTCCTGGACCTCGGTCATGATGGGGCTCGATCGCACGAAAGGTATAGATGGTTTAACGTCTCTAAGCAGTGCGGGGAGAACAGAAGTCATGTTCTGTTAAAGCATCATGGTCTTGCAAAAAATCGTAGCGCTTCAATTCCGGGCCGTTCGCGGCGAATGTGTCGCACCCCTCGTGGGAAGGCTTCCTGTCGCACCTCGAACAGAATAATAATTGGCCAGTAACGCTTAGAGTCGCACGCGCACACCTTCTCTCCACCTCTCTCTATGTGCAGTCCTAAGTAGAAAAGTATTGGACTAAGAAGCCACTCCAAGACGCCCGTTGGTGCCACAGTCGGACGATCTAAATGTGTTACAACGGAAGAGCCAAACTACTGCAGGCGTGCAGGCGCGCAAAGGGAGAGAGAAGGA